CGTCTTTACTTTATTGAAAAAATGGAACCAAAAGCAAGAATTGATGCAGATAACCGAAACTGCTTGGCCTTGAAGTGATCGTAACGACCTATATTGCATTTCTGGAAGAAATAGTGTGCTTTGGACAGCATTAATACATAAGCAACCATATTTTAGTGGCCGAAATTAAATATTTAAGATATTCAAGCTTTTCATTCAGTCTGGCAGCCACATTTTTTCTAAACACTGCATCTACAGTCTATGGGTTACGCTAAAATGGGAGACTAAGTTTCTACACTATTATTAGTAGTTCTTTTGAAATAAACTAATTTTTTAATGGTCGAATTTACGATTTATGATTACAAGCATTATTTCAAAAGACAAGGATTTGGTATATCATCGTTATAGAGATTTTGCGCAAGTAGCTAACTAAATGGCGTAACCGACCAGGTAATCACAAATTTGGCCTGGCAATCTCACCACTACAAGTCACGCTGCCAAGCCCACGCATATTAAAGGTTCTGTTTTCGCCAATTGCGCAGTCAAGTATCATTTTGTTGTCAAAATCAGACAGTCCATCGGCTTTTATGGTCTTTAAGATGGTACTCGATTTCTGAGGCATAAGTTAGTTAAAAAGGAGCTTAAATAACTCACGAAAGCCGTGTCTTAAGCAGCAAAACAGTTAGTATATTTCTGCAAAACTATGATAAAATGAGTCTGCAAAAATATTAAACAGAAAATATTTTCATTGACAAAGCCAACGACTTGAGCTTCGGCAGTCATCTAGATGGAAGAAAAGACCAAAATGCTTAACATTAGAAAATGGAGACTGTATTTCCAATTATAGTACTAGTTTACACTGTTACAAAATAAAATCAAATGTAAGTGCTTAACAATTGGCCTGCCTAAACAATCCTAATGGCTTGGTGGGATGTCTTATTGTGTCAGCACAGCAGTCTCGATAAGGACAAAAATGAGACAATGCACGAAACGAATATGCGGTGATCCAAACCAATACTATTGTAGTGACTAGAGGATATAGCACTACCTTACAACCCTCTAATTAACAGCCCAAGACAACTCGAGTAGAGTGGAGAAGAGGCGAGAGCGGACACGACTGGTTTATTGATGACAAAACAACCAAGTGACTTTGTCTGCGTATGAGTACGCGCGCGTAACAGACGAATGCCGACAAAAATCAATAACAAAAGGGGGTGAGTCATCGCTACACACGGGCCTTCATGCACGCACACTCGCGCCGGGCGGCTGTCAGTCCACTACACTATGCCTTAATATTGTCATACCACATAGTTACTATCAACGAATAATGGCATTTAGAGTTGGACAGTTACGGATTCACTCTGGTCATTTACAATGTCCTTGAAATGGATATATATATATAGTCAGTAATCTCTGGCAACGTCTTTGAGGTAATCGGGTGGTAAAGTGAAGACTTCGGCATTGAAATAACACGCGACACCACTTTCTGCTGTCGAGGGGGTCCAAATCAATCGAAGCCAATTAAAAAGAGATTGAAGTGGTATTTCGTGAACTTCTATTGTTACCTAGTGCGAACATTCTGAGAACGCTATTCTTCGCACTCTCATCAGATCTTCTGGTGTAAGAACAATAATTTCACGGCGAATGCCATCGAGGACATAAAAACCTATCGACCGTCTACTTATAAATCTAGTCAACTGCAAATTATTTCAGAATTATTTTTCAAAGACGAAATGGTTAAAAAGATACTTCGGTGATTTTTTAACCCATTTGATTCGGCAGTTGTACATCAAGGATATTACATTAACATTAACATACATTTTTTGTCAGCGTGCTGTGGCAATCATTCAGCATCGGAGAAGTGTTCAACACTCAACATGCCTGCTAGTCTCAGTAATGGATTGCAGCCTTCTCCTACGCAAACTGCACCCTGCAAAGTTGATTGAGAAAAGATGCATGCAATGTCTACATGACGCCCGAAGGCATGAAATTGGAAAAAAAATACAGATACGTTATTAGGAAATTGCATAAATAATTCACACGTTAAGATAAAAGGCTCCATAATGTTTTATTGCTTTCAGTTGCGCATTGTGCGTTTGAACAACCGAAACGACGACTGCAATTTTTAATTGCTATTAAACTAGACTTCTACGGTACACTTTATCGATGTTTTCTGCACATTTTCGTTTCTTTGGAATGCTACGTTCTAAAGGATCACCATTTATGGGGAAGGGACCAAAACAAGGTTGTTTGCTGTCATGCTTTGTGGTTGCAACTTCAAAAAACGTAATTGACATTTCTGCCACAACCACCAGTCAGCCTCTTTTCTCCACATGCAAAACCGTTGAAAATACACCTTTAACTGACCATCAAAAGGTAGTAACCCAACTAGAAGAGATTTTTACAATAGTAATGTTAATAATAACTGACTTAAACTTAAGCACGTGATTCAATTTGTCAAGCTATTATTTAAATCGGGTAACAGCCTTTAGTGAAAAACGCATGTTTATCTGTTGAAAAATATGGTATTACCTGATAGTAAAGATATAAATTTTGTATTATGGAAAACATAAGTAAGAATACCATAATCGTTTAGTCTCATTAAGGAAAGCTAGTCTGATTTCCAGTGATTGAGAAACCAAAAACGAGTTGCAACTATAAAAATCTAGAAAAGCTGAATGCCTTCAACACAAAACGAGTAGAATAAAGTGCTTGCTTTTTTTAATTGCAGTAGGAATCGGCCTCTACCTTACATTTCCAAAACAGAAACTAGACTATATAATTAGACTCTGAGTGGTTCTCTATTCGAAATCTTATAGTTTCTTGAAGCATTAGGCACACCGACGTGTGTACGTGGCCTACCAGTCAAATGTTTGAGCACTTTTTGGGCTGCTAACAGTTTGCACACAAATTTTATCAGTGCAGACGGACTGTCTACTTACATAAACACTTTTGATCTAAGTCATAGTAGATGCTCTCAAGGCAGCCTTAAAACAATTAATTTGACTCAAGTAACTCAGAATTGGGGATTTGGGGAATTCGCTTGGCTGATTTGACTTGTTCAGTGCATCAGGATTCAAAAGCCCTCAGTTGTTTATTTCGGGTATGGGATATTTGTGCATTTCTAAGTAGAAGAAAACCGCCTCATATCAGAAAATTAAAAATAAATGTAAGCCTAAGAAATGTATCCTGAAAATGAACGTCCGAAATGCCATGGACAGGAACACCAATATTTAAAACACAATAAGAGGCCTATTGATGCAGGTAAGAATACTTCTGTACAATCCAATGCACATTGTCAACAACAAAGTTAGAGGTTTCCTCTCAGTCTCGGCTTTAATGCACTTGTAAAATAAGTGCGGGTCTCCAAGTGGACTAGCGGAGGCATGACCTCGGAAACCCGCATTCTCAAACTGGTTTGGACTTTGGCTTTGCTAGAGCCTACGGCATCCATCGACCGACCAGTACGCCCTTTTTGCGATTCATTTTAAGACGATGAAGGGTCTAAAACGAAGGAACTGCATGCGTCCCCTGGCACTTGATTCCAATTTAAGAGCCTTTTGGATTTCTGCAAAACAAAGTCTCAGACTAATCCATTTAAGATTAAATTTCTTCAGTGGACCAAAATATTTTGCCAAACAGTTTGAAATCTTAGTGGTCTTTATGTAATTTTGTTAATTTTTTTTGGAATTCACTGTCACGAGATGTGCAGAGGAACGGGTGCTTATTTCAAGCACTTTATGGAACAAAACTTTTAGCCAGTTTTAATGAATAGTTGGGATCCCAAGGAGACAGGTTCTGATTAATAATTCAATCTCTTATAACAAACGCACAAACAGTTCTTAATCCTCATGAATTGTAATAAAAGGCAAAGGAAAAATAGCAGTCTGAAGTGTTTGACGATTTGAAAGTAATGCATGCATTAGTTCAAGAATCATAAATACCTTTTTTTTGATTATTGGGACTTTACAAAGTAATCGAGCTTGAACGCTATCAATGGAATTTTTACCTAGCAGTAAGCTTCCTACTGTCTGTTTTAGTCACTTGAAATAAAAAAAGGGTAAGATTACTGAAGGCATGTTTTCGTTGTCATTTAACGTCTTTAATTGGATAAAGTACAAACTAGCAATGAGCAGTAGTTAAGACCGACTTGATGTTTAAAAATGGACGAAATCTTTCAAATATTTCACATTTAACAAGATATCTAAAGATAACAATTAGCCTTCAATTAAAAGGAAAAATAGAGTTTCCGATAGCTTACCCAGACTTAAAAATCAGAATTTAAAAAGCACTTAGTTGACTGCTTACATTTGCTAAACCATTAAGTTCACTTGTGCGTATAAACTGGAGACTTATGAAATTTAGAGGTCTCTTTTCTTGGTAGGATAAACTTGGTAATCAGCAGAGGCTGGAATTCAGTAACAGCAAAATTAGATTTAGGGAAGATTTTGACTGCACTGCAGTTTCATGAAACATCACAGATTGATCAACTTAAATAACAAATTTGGCTAAAAAATTGACTGTTTTTTTGAAACCACGGTTCTTAAGTAACACTACCCTGGTAATAACTTGATCGCCTGCTATTAGGAGCGCCTTTTCTTAAAGGGTCAGCCATTTGAACAAAAATCTACCACTACTACTCAATGGAAGATGCATTTTAAGATGTACAGTTGTTTGAATTAGGTACAATATGTCACGTTCATTTTTGTTAAATGATGGCGTGAAATTTGAAATTCAAGATAAATCCCGCAACCAATACTGGCTAAATGTTTTGCAAAACATATTAAAGGTTAAAAAGAACATGCCAATTGGAGTTTAAATAATAATAATAAGAGGCATGGCTTTTTGGGATCCATGAGCTAAAAAACCACCCAAATTAAAAAAATTAATTGGAATGCTAAGTATTCATTAATTCATGGCAGATTATCCACAGGACCTTTTATTCCGTATTTCTGAATTATTTAATTGCGTTTTGTAACGTAGGCATATACATGCATTCATGTAATTTAAACGGGATCTAAATGGGTTGCAGCGCCGTTTTTACCATAATTGCAAACTTTTTAACACTTTGCAGCACTTAGTGGGCAGCTGCTGATAAAATCAAGTGTAAAGACATGGGAAATGGTCCAGATAAGATGGCATGATAATATATTGATTAATATTTTTGACTTCGCCGGAATTAAAGTTACTGCTGATTGGTCGTTTTGAACGTCAGTTACTAAATATCCCGAAAGATACCTTGACACATCAAGCTTGGCAGCTTTTTAATTGGATAAAGACTTTTTGAATGGGTGACCTTAACTGGCTTCAGAATACGGGTATTGTAATTTTCCAACCAAAACGCTTGCTCGCCACTCTGAAACCGGGGCATTTAGCGCAATGACGGACTTCCTCACCAGCGATGAGAAGTTGCAATGCATCAGCGCCTTCAAACAATTTACTCGCAGAAGATCAGGAACAATTCCTGTTAGTAAATTACCACAAGTAATGCGAAGAGCTGGATTTGCCCCAACAAATGAGGAATTAGACAAAGTTTTGAAAGGGTACGTGATATATGCTCATTATATTTTCTCTAATCTATATAAAAGGTGCCAAGACGAAGAAAATATTACTGAGGCAACGTTTTTAGCCTTAATGGAGGAGTACAAAGTGGATTTAAAGATCACTCAGGACCTGCATCATGCATTTCAGCTTTTTGACAAAAGTGGAGAGGGTTTCTTCACGACAGAAAGTCTTCGGTAATGTCCGGTTTGTAGACTAACCACATTATCAAGGGAGTTATTGCGAGAAGGTGAGAACGAGACCCTAACAAATGAGGATATCGACGCGCTTTGCCGGCATGCAGATACTGACGGTGATGGGAAGGTGTACTTTAGCGGTAAATGATATGCATTTGGTAACATTCAATTCTCAGAAAGAAAATATCGTAAGATTTTTTGAGGAGGAATGTTAGGTGGCACAATGTATTGTTTAAAGGATCTGATATTTGATTAATCAGGTCTGTTAAACTTATTGAGTTTAATACTGCTTGCTAATTGCGTTGTTCTGATTGGCATTAAATGAATGACTGCAACAAAACCAAAATATAAGGTTTTTTTTAAGAAAACGTCAAAAAATCAAGTTGGCCATCAATGGCAGTCATTGTTGATTCAACGAATTATAGACAATGCAATGACACCGTTTATGGTGAATGCTTTGAAATAGCCTAGTAAAGGCACCTCACGAAGGCAACAAAAAGCTCTGTTTAAGTGTAAACATATACTTTTTGATCCTAAAAGCCTGTTTGAAGTTTAACCGATCCTTAATTAAGTTAGTTTAAATTCGCATCGGTCTTTTTCATACAGAAAATAATCATTGCATTTCATTGAGCTCAAAAATATTCGTAAGCAAACCGTTAATGAAACGTTGGCCCTACGAGAAGTCAAAGATCAAAGGGGCATGTAAAATTGGTGAGCGACGGAAAAAATCTGGATTGTATTAGAGGCCGTGGTCCTATTTTCGAGTGTGGGTTGTGACAAACGAAACACTTTTAAATGCTTTTTTTTATTAATTTACGTGATGTTAGTAGACCAATGCAGGGTTTCTTTTATCATATTTTTGTCCAATCGAGAAGAAGCGATTGGCCTTCGGGGCTAAGTAAAAGCCTTCGGGACTAGTGGTGCCTCTGGTTGTGAAGTCAGACATATCGGAAAGAGCGATTTTGTGAGGTCTGTGAAAAACGTGCTGCGTCAGCTTAATGGGTTTGGGGAAAATCCCTTCCTAAATAAAGCTTTACTCGCAGATGTTACTCTTATTAGTAATATTTCATGTTTATCATTCTTAGAATGTTAACCTTCTATTTTGTATCCAATCAAAAGGATAGTGACAGTAAATGTACTAAATTTGTCTAATGTCAACTTACTATGGCAACAGAAATATATAAACGAAGCTTTTGTTATGTGAACCTAAGGTGTACACAAAATTTAATGTAAGGACAGGGTGTTGACTCGATTCTTATTTGAGGTTAGGAAAATTTCGACTATAAGGAACCAAATCTTATACGTTTAACTTGTTGCTCATGTCATTTGATGCTCTTCAAAGGCTAGATACTCTTCAAAAGCTAGAATTCAATAGGGGCTGTCTTGAAAATGGTGTAAGGTTATACATGCACACTACCATGTTACTTAATTTGAGGTTAATAAAAAGTGTTAATTGCTTTAGATAACGATCCAAAATGCACGATTTTAAAGTAGCTACTGGGATGGAAGGACAAATTAGGATTAACAAAGTGTATTTTGTGCGAGGCTAGCAATTTGCATTAAATTCATGTCGTTGGAAGTTTTTCGCATGTTCATCTATTTATGGATCCTTCATGCATTCAGTCACTTGTAATAAAAGCTTTGAGAAATGGTCATACAGAAAAAAACTTTGCGGTAAAATGGAATGAATGAATGAATGGTATTTCTAATTTACTTTTCAGATTTTGTCAGAGTTATGCTGTCATCCTAGCGGGGCCGCATCCTTCTGAAATGAACTCTCCGTCCACATCTGATAAATTTTTTGCTTGACTTCACAACATCAAAACCTGACTGATGCTATGCTTATTGATTCCGCATTAGATTGTATGCACTCACAAAAAGAGTTTCTGAATAAACCGTCCTGTTGTTACGACCCTCTCAACATCTACCAAATATTAACTCGAGTAGTTTACTATTTAGTTTAATAAAAATTCAAAAAAAATTCAGTAGAGTAAATGGTTTAATCATATTCAAAGTCTTATCTTAGTTATCTCCCACACAAACTCACGACAAGCATACCTTTCAAATCGGTCGTGCATTGCAGAACCATTACTGAAGATGTCTGCTTATACCGTGCGTCAACCCTTATAAAAAGTACAATTTCTGGCAACTTAACCACCATCCGCCACACACGCATGTTAAACTATGTTTTGCACTGAGAAATCAGGAATCGCTCATACTCTGAAAACATCAAAAGTTAAAAGTTGATTGGCAACCTTAGTCGTAATAATAACAGCCTCTAAATATTCCAATATGCCATAATTCCTGCCCGTTTTCGGTGTCATTGTGCATTAATAAAATTAATAAAAGTAAGTTCAAGTTTTGCACATTTTCATCAAATTAAGACCTTGAATGCCTGGTGTTCGTTACATGAACTTGATCTAAGTCAAGCGGAACTTTTCTTATAGTCAAAATAATGAACTTTTAGGCCATTTGTTTTTTGACTTTTGAATGGGAGTATTAGCCGAGAGTACCAAATGCGCGACCTCCTTTAAACGAATTTCAAATAGCCGCTCGCCCTTTCTTTCGTCATCCACCAATGACAGGGTGCATAACTTCTATATCAGTAAACTTCAGACCTTTGAATAAAGCCGCCTTTTTGGCTCTTTTCCTTGAATGCCCTGCAGCTGTCAATAGTTTTCCAGCAGTAGATCAAACTGTTAGTTTGCACACTAGTCTCAGCACGAACTCTTAAGCATCAATATCATTGATATATCTGTAGTAGCTTGTTTTTAGTACTACCTTACAACCCTCTACCTAACGGGCAGCAGCAACCCAAGGAGGGGAAAAGGAGGCAACAGAGAACACGACCGTTTACTAGTGTCAAACCAGCTAAGTGGCTTTGTGTGCGTATGAGTACGCGTGCGTAACGGGCCAATGCTGACAAAGACCAATAACAAAAGGGGTGAGTCATTGGTCCGCTCGGGCCCTCATGCACGCATTACTCACGCAAGGTGGCAGTCACTACATATCAATCAATAGCCATTATTTATGCTATTTCGGAAATGACCTTTTCATGATACATTACACATTGTAATCTCCCCGTTTTATATTAGAACTCACAATTTTCAGCACTTCCCTGCCTAGAATTTGGCGACAACTTAGTAGTCAGTACTTTCGATAGTGGCATTTACTACAGTAAGGGGTTAAAGTCCAATTTAATTTAGCGTTACTTTTTCTTAGCATGTTAAACTGAAGTAGCTTCCAGCGAGATTTTGAGCCTTGAATTTGCATCCGATAAGACTAAACCTGATTGAGTGACTTATGCGCATTTTATTACAGAACTTTTGCCAGAACAAAAA